ACTAAGAAAGAAAGAAAGAAAAGTATTTATTCGATGCAAGTACACAACAAGATAACAACTTAAACTATATAGACGGTTACATTTAAAACAATAGTAGTTAGTCATACGAAAAAAGGGGGAAAATGACACAGAAGAGCTTCCAAAAACAGAAACATTAGTTTCCGCTGTTTCAACGGTCTTAGATTTCTTTTAGACTTTGCTATGCCTGTCAAGGCTAACTAGATAAATTTTCTGTAAATTAGCATATAAGTCATGGCCATGATATTGTGAAATAAATAGGAATACCTGTGTAGAATAGCTAGAGCTCTCGGAGTAAAACTAGCTTTTTATTTTAATTAAACTGTTGCACTTTCAGTCGGTAAGTTACAAATTGTAACATTTAATTATTTACTACATATTCAGTGATATACCTACAGTTGCGTTCCGCGTTTCATCATATCAATTTTAGTTATTATAGTTCTCTATAGATTATATACGGAAATTTTATAAATTAACGTCACATTATTTCTAAATTACTTTTAATAAAATTAATTTCCGAACTATTAATAGTGCCTACAACTAAACTTATAATTTTATTTACAATTAAACTGTTTTATTCTCAACATTAGACATATAACGTCGTAATTTAGTAAAACTTATTTTTATCTTTAACTTAGAACATGTATAACTTAGAGAGTGTATTAAAAATGTCCATAAATTACAATTTCCTTAATTTCAATCGGCATTTGTTACTTAAGAGCATCCACAAATAAAAGGTAGTCCCTAAGGGGCTCTTGACTGTCTCCATATCTTTTAAAGTGGTCATGACTCAGTGTTGTGGCATTTACAACTTTAACTTCCGAGACTCCGAACGAACTCGTTCTTTTGACCCTTTTCATTCTGGCATGATTCAGTAGTGACCGACCGAATATTCGTTTTCGTTTTCGTTTTCGGCCATTTTCGGCCAAAAATGGACATTCGGCCATATTTTCGTTTTCGGCCAAAAACCAGCCGAAGCTTCGGCCAAACCGAATATCAGAAATACGTGATTAAGATGGTGTCGTTTATCGTTCCGATATCTTCGGGAGTGAATCTGGTGCACTCATGGTTCCAATCAGACTAGAACGGACGCGGTATTGTCACACTCTTTTGAAGTTGTGAAGTGAGGTTACGTTGTAAAGAGTGTCCAGCGAGAATTTTCCAAGTTCAAAATTGAATACAAATAAAACCAAAGTTTAATTGTTTCATAATAGAGTCTAATGCGGATTTGAAATACGCCATGAGTCTGGTCGGGAGCCTACAGAGCGTTCGCAGTTGAACAATAAGAAGTATTTGGAAAACAAAAAGATGATTCCGTGGAGGGTAGTTGAACGGGAAGCATGGTCGATCTGTTTTAATGGTTTCAATTTATTATTTAATGGACTTTAGTGTACAAATTTGGTGTTATTTTGTGTTCTAAAGTGCAGTGAAGTGATAAATTATAAAAAACATTGATATACTTCGAATTTGAGCGCGCATCGAGTGTCGAGTGGGTTGTCGTATGAACAACCCGCTTTGGACCCGGTGGCGTCTCGAAACCTGCTTACGGGCATACTTAACTCCACGGAATCCATGAAAAATCAATAGAACTGAAACACCCACGTTCTATTGATAACTATGTCAATATTTTTCACTCGACATTGGCAAAAATAAACCTCACAGAGAGGTTTGGTTGCCACAAAAAAAAAAAAGAAGTATTTGAAATGTATTGTCGAATGATCGATGAATGTCTGATACCACCACTGCAACTGCAACCCGGTCAACTACGTAACTCTATTTCAGCAAGAAGGTGTCTCACCACACACGGAGAGTACCTCGATGGAGACACTGAGGACTATTTTTTTTTTCACATAAATGATCAGCAAGTACAGGGACAAACCCTAGCTGCCTCGGTCACCAGATCTCACACCATGCGACTTTTTCTTGTGGGGATATCTCAAGTCAAAAGTTTACAGCAAACAATCCTTAAATAATTCAGGTTCTGTAAGAAAATATCCGCCGTGAAGTTGCAGGAAAATTATTAGCGCGATTTGCTCTCGCATAGTTGCGAATGTAAGGGTCATCATTTAAAAGACATTGCCTATAAAAAATTAAATCCGCATTGTTAAACTCCAGTTTGCATAAGTAATAAATAACAAAAAATCATTAATTTATTTGTATTCATTTTTGAAGTTAAAAAATTCCCACTGGACATCCTTTATTTCTTCTTCACTTCCCAATATTTCATTATACACCGATTTTTTTTGTGTTTTAAGGCCGGTTTATTTAATCAATCCTTATCAAAATCAACTGTCAAACGTCATTATGTTTTTGGTCAAAACATTAACGGTTTTCAAAGTTTGTACATAATTTCAGATTGAAATTTGAGAGTTGAAGGTCATTTTCGTTTTCGTTTTCGGCCGAAAATGAGACTGCAGCCGAAGCTTCGTTTTCGTTTCCGTTTTCGGCTGAAAATCCATATTCGGCCGGACACTATGATTCAGTCCTTTACTAAGCTTTTGAAATGTAAGTGAAGCTTTATTAGAACTACATTATGTCAGATGTTATTTCTATAGATATTGGAAGGACTATCACTAGTTAAGAATAAGTTAAGTATAGCATAATCTTGATGAAATGCAAAGATAGGTACTTCTATTCATAGAGCCTTTTCTAAGCACTCTACAATAACTTACAGGAAATACAACTTATAATTCCTAGACCACAAAATTACATAGGTGCTTTTCTTATTTACTTATAATACATAAGTAATACGATGCAGTTATTTCCAATGATATTGTGTCTCCTTTCGAATCTGATTGGTCAATAATTTATTCAAATCACGTTGTTGTGAGCCTTTGGTCGACTGATACTTTACATTTTATATTTACGAGCGTCATCGGGGATGACTCACTTGCTGATTCCAATACTTTGATCGCATGCTTTTAAATTATCTTCAATTGAAATAATCTCATTAACTATCGCATCTGTGCCTTGAGACCTTGACTGATTGAGAAAGATTTGAATTGATTTAAAAGATACACATAATGAAATCCGTACGAAAGTAGGAAACGCTTCACCCATGGAATAGATTTAGATGAAATTTGGTATGGAGATAGTTTGAGACCCAGGGTAAAACATAGGATAGTGTTATTCCCGTTTTTAGAAAGTAGGGCATGATAAAGTTATTCTGTGACAGACCAAAATTCACGTAAGTAGAGCCACGGGAAATAGTGTTTCTATGTTTTTCTTGTAAATATGAAACTCACAGAATGATTATGAAAGAATGCCGCGAATCATACCGTGAAAATAGTAAGAACAACAAAGTACATCTGCATGCTGTACATAATGATACACACGTGATAATTACATAGTGTTATGCTATGCATCAGTTGTATTGTTAAACAATCGTTGTTGCGAAGACAAACTGACCGCACGAAACACGAAACTATGAGAAAATTTGCTGCCGGTTTTAAGTACTTATAGGTAGGTATACCTTGTATCTACGAACTACTGAGCAAATTAAGAACTGAAAGATTTTCGCAAAAATCTATTGTTCTAAGCTTAGATAAGAGTTAGTGTTGAGATTGAAGCATGTAGAGTCAGAAAATTATTTTATAATTTTCATAACATTGCGTTGGACTCTTGATGAAATTCCTAGAGAAGATTAAACGATTAATTACAGATAAGATTTGTTGACTTTATGCATAATATTAGCTAATGTACTTAGCTCTGATAATTAGCTGATATTTCAAGGATTAAACTGACGTAACTGACAACAAGATTGCATCCTGATTTATGCAAAAACAGACTGTTTGTGCACATCTTTGAGTGTGTTTTTTTAAGAATTGATACATCCTTGAAAAGATTCTTGAAAACTTTGCAGTTTATCTTACGATATTGGTTAAAATTGTTGAAATAAAAGGCAAAAAATATTTTTGAATCATTTAAAAACGTACGCACAAAAATGACGGCTAAACAATCGGCAATCGCGGACTTTAATCGAAAGGGGTCTGTCTGTATCGATTTAAAAGCCATACAAAAGTTCTGTGAGGGGAGGCAGGGGTGAACGCTCGCGCCGGCACGCCACGGGCACAATGTTGCCAAACCGGGACACCATGTGTCTGCCAAGTGCAACCCTGACTTGCTTCGAAAAGTAGAACTAGATCGGTTTTTGTTTTTTTAAGAACTTTCGAGCCGGATTTTGATGCAAGAGTGGCAATTTTATGATGATTTTGAATTTTTTTGACCCTTCGAAATGTTTTTTTAACAACTTTGAGCCGGATTATGATGCTACAGCGGCAATTTTATGATGATTTTTTACTTTTTTGGTCCTTCGAAATGTTTTGTTATTTATTTATCACTTAAAAATTTTAGATAATTCATATTTTAGGTTAAAATAAAGTCAATTTGAATCTAAAAAAAGCCATAGCTTGTATCTTTTAGATTATACGAAGTTAGCAGGTAAGTACCTAACTCAATATAGAATTAACAAAAACATCTAATTTCGTAAGCGGATTTTGAACCACGTCGTGCAAACAAAAACGCTATTGCTAATTAACTCTACTCAATATACCTACTTAGGTACCACTTACTGGCAGTTCGTAAGTTATTTTGTAAACAAATTAAGTATTGATACTGCTTATTTGACTTTGGTTGTTAATCACATGCTTCTATTAAGTTAATTGCTGCGCTTAGCGTTAAACGATCCCATTGTCATGCGAGACGCAAAAAATGGAAGAGTAATTTAGTCATTACCTGTAATTACTTTACGACTCATGACTTGATCTGATTTGATAATCATAACATTTCTCTAACAATAGTAGAGGCGCCTATTAATCTCGGTTTGTAAACAGCCCCGTCTCATCTGCGAAAATCAATACCGCTCTACACGTATACCTACGTATTGTCGCATAGCGTCAGTGTATGCGAAAACGATCTTTGAACCGTTTGATTTCCTAAGACATTCAAAATGCATTTTTGCGTGCATGAGTCATGTGACGTACCATCGAGCATGCAGCGACGCGATGTGATCTCCTCCTCCTCGAACTCCTCCCGGCCACTCAGTTTATCCTTCACCACATCCATGGCTCGCACTCAGATCACTGCTTCCACAATTTACATCACAAACACAATCGATCCACGATTCGCACACAACACGGCCATGTCACTATGCAGGTAGACACTCGGACAGCTGATCGGGGCGTGTGTCGATTAGCGTCGGAAACGCGTTGCCCCGGTAGCCGTAAGCAAATAACTGGCTGTAATCGACCGGTCGGCCGTCGTGCACCGGCCGTTCAATGTCAGTATCGAATGGACAATCAATTATGCGACACCGCCACGTAAAGACGAGTCGTGTGTCGCAAGCCAGGCGCCTCGGTCTCGCGGGTTCGCGCACATGCGTGATGTCGAGACTGCGCGCAGGACGCATGCGCGAAGGGTGCGCGGACACATGGCGATATCGACGCGCGCCCGTGACGCGACGGCGGGGCGCCGCGAGATTGCTCCCGTGAAATCCAGGCTGATGGATGATAATGAGGGTCTAAGACGAATAAATACATAATTGAACAGGAAAATCTGCCGACTGAGATTAATGGAGTCGTGATTATTTAGCTCGCTATCTCTCTTCATAAGAATAATGTATTCTTATTTCCCCTAGATTTCCATTTTTAAGGTACTTATTGTACCTACCTAAGTAGGTATTATTTTAGTTATAATTATGCCAGTTAGAGCAATGCAACCAGTATGGATGCAGAAAATGTAGTGGTTGTAGTTTACTATTTTAAGTTTAATAATATTTGAATGAACAATTCTTAATTACTTTCATTCCGTCGTAACTTAACAACCATCCATTCTAGAAATCAACAGTAGTATAAACTTGAGTTTAAACTGTGAAAGTGCCTGCTATAAAGCCAATAACTGAATTCTACGTTAGCGTTTATTGCTGTACTCGTAGCCACAGGCGTTCAGATTTAAGTTTCCGCTTGGTTCGTAGACATTCCGTAGCATGTGATATTGTTCAATAAAGTTATTTGTCTATGTTGCTCTAGATTTATGCTATATTTATAATTTATTTCGTTATTAGGTATTACCATGAACTTACCTGGTGTTTAATCCTTTAGAAATGTGTAGAAGGTGTACGGGCCAATGTAGGGTGTAAGTTTAATGTTAATACCTGGAACAAAACGAGATAAGATAAGTACACGTTAATTTATTTACGTACGTAGAGCTTTTTATAGAGTATCTAATGAAGTAGGTGGACACACACAATAAAATATGAAATTAGTAAATCTAGCAGTTAAGTAGGTATTTGTCTGTAATAATGTAGTTGGAAAATATATTTACAAGAAGTTTGTTTTTAACATTACATATTTGAATTATCGATCAAGATTTTTGTAATTTTCCACGACAAGACAAACACGACTCTAAAATTGAAATATCACCATAAATGACATCATTTTGGTTACACTTTGCTTAGATGATGTCAGACATACATATTACTATTACTTACTTAGGTCATCTTTATATTAAGTTACTAAAATAACAATGCAACAAGTTATTTCGTTGACATATCGACTTCTTTTTTAACCGACTTTGAAAAAGGAGGAGGTTCTTTATTCGATGCAAAATTAGTTTAATATTTTGGGCATTGGTGCGATTGCTAAAAACGTGGCTCCTACATTATTTCACCTAAAAACATTGTACAACGAAAATACATATATTTTTCCAATACATTAGGTGTGCTAAGCGCATCAATGGGCATGTTGACAAATGAGATAGGATATCGTGTAGATCAGTGGTTCTTAACCTTTAAGTCACGAGGGACCATTTTACCAAACTGTCTTCTCAGGGACCACTTATTTTCATTCAAAATCCAATGAAAGGAGAGGTCGATTTCTCGCCCACTGTGCGCCGTTTGCGTTGTGTTGACTCGACTCATCACGTCACGTCACTTGTTTATTACGATGTCTTCGTGGACCACTTGGAATGCCTCCAGGCACCACCAGTGGCCCGCGGACCACCGGTTAAGAACCACTGGTGTAGATGGTAGCCTACTTACATAAATCTCGAATAATACATAGTAATAGCTACGTACATAGGAAAGTAAAATCTTGAATGAATGCTACGGTTACGAGAGGAAATTCTGTTATATATCTACTACAAGTTTTTCCTTCCTAGAGTTCGTCGTAGAAGCTTTTATAAACTGTGTTTGGATTCTTAAATGGTTTTATCTAATCTTGTAATAAATTATTAGATCTAGTTCATAAAAGGCAATAAAATGTCAGATGGATAATAATAGATTAAGCATTGCGTAAGTAACCCGATATAGAATTAATTGTACGAATGTTTTTAGAGTTCCTCAATTATGTGAGACGTACCTCCTACTATTGGAGGCTTTTCATTCAACGGATGCAACCATTTCATTCAAAAGATAAAAATGACAAAGGCCAAAACCACACGATACCACAGAATACATTTTCAGCAATCGTCATCATCACATCAGCCACAGGACGTCGACTGCTGAACATAGGCTCCCAATGATTTCCACATCACCCGATTGGTAGCGGCCGGCCTGTATCCAACGCATCTTATAGCAATAGTACCGTTTTTATGGAAATCGATAAACTAAATATTTATCTAAGAAAAGCTGCCCAACAAAAACATTTGCTTGACCGATGTCCCTTGACTGCTATAGGTACCTACTTCAATGATACACAAACTTTCAAGCAAGAGTTGCATTTTTCACTTGACTCTACCGGGAAACATCGACAGTATTTGTATGCAATGGTAACATCGCCAGTCCGTGTTGTGACTTTTTTAATACCAAATTAATGTTTGCCAAAACAAGATAAGATACTATGCGGAACCCTTTCTCATTTCACAGCTGAACTTCTTGACCGCCTTTTACTCGCCGAACTATTTGTTACATCCCACGATAAAGCTTCATTCAGAGCTCAGAATGTAACAATGGTTACATTATTTTATTGCCAGCGAAAGCATTACAGCACGCGCATGTAAACGACGATTAAAATAATTAATGGGTACACCTAATGACTTATAACAGGGTTGTGCCAATTAGGTAATCGCTGACCGGTGGTATATAATTCTTGTCAACTATTAGGTTTTAATTATACGTGTAGTTAAGAAACAGTTCCGGTGCTTGTACTTCTAAATACGTAGGGGAGACCGAGGAGAGTTGTAGCAGAGGGGAGTTGTCACAAAGCCCTATGACAATTAGCGAGCAGAAAATTACACGCAAAACTGTGGAGTGTCAAAAGAGCAACGAATTCGCGAAGTTGTTAGCTCGATAAACAGTCTTAAGTTCGGAGAAATTGTCTTTGTTCCAACCATCCTCTGTTACAACTTTCCTCGGTCTCCCTAGGTCCATTACCCTATTTACGAACTGTTATAATGAACTAAGGGCACCAAAACAGGATTAAAGTGGACGCGGTCGTAATTACCGGATGCGTCGAGAATTCCTGACAAATGGGTCCAAATTGTTACCAATAACCTGTAAATTCACTGGGATGCGATATGAAGTGAAAATTCCTACTTACAACAGATTTTTACTGGACCTCAATTTTTATGTGTTTGTACCAAATGATTTATTTTTCTTTCTGTTTCCTTGAGGCAAAGTTTTATAATTTGATTGGTTGAATTTCCATATTTAGATCAATCACAGCTCAGAATCTACGATAAGATTGAACAATGCTTAAAGCATTGTTTTTTGATACGTGCCTAGAAATCTAGTGTCGAGATTAAAGACATTTTTATCAATCCTTCAATAGCGAGCAAAAGTCCAAATTACAGTTATAAATGTATTTTAGTCTAACTAAAGTCCTTTAGTTCAAAAATTGGCAGCCCTAGATTACGCCACTTCATTGAAGCAGGTCAGTACTAACAATGCCCCGTTTGTTAAGAGCCATTTTACATTTTCGTGCGAATTTCTAAGATTTTGGAAGCATGAATTACTATCTTAAGCAACACCCAGAGATTATTTAATAACTGCGAAAGATAGGTCGATCCTTGTTGTTGACCATTAATGAAACGGATTTACTAAAACTCTTTTGCTTAATTCACAGTGCCCCATCTCCCACAACCATTTTACGAAAAAATTGCCGCAGACTCATTTTCAAAGTCCTGTATCTATTATTTATGCTCATATAATAAGCTTAAAAATATAAAGTAATCATCGGACATATATTCTTGTAGTTCATTAATGAAATAGATTCTTGAATTTCATTACCATTATTGAGTAAAATCTAAAAATAATTTGGCAAATTTGAAGATTAACGTCACATTTTGATCGTGGTTTTTGGTTTAAAAACACAGCAATAACTGCAATAAAAGTATCCCAAAATAAAGAATATTCATTGTAGAATTGATTTCTACAGTTATTGTTTAAATATTAGTAACCACTTTGTCAAAATATTGATGTGAATATCAGTATAAATTACAATGCGCAAGCCGACATCGATTAGTATGGCGCGAGCGCCCGTCAAGGCAGGACGTGTGTCATTTTTCCCGCCGTGACGTTTACGTGCGTTCGTGTCGTGAAGCGGTGATTTGTACGGCGACCAAATACATTTGATACTATGCCGAGAGGCTGTTTCGAGTCGGCCGGCCGAGCAGAAATTGAAATGATGAATTTTAATTTCTTTGACGGATCTGGGTGTAACTATGTATAATATGTAGGTACCATGTATTTAATTTAATAAATAAATTATAAAAAAGTATATCCATTATGATAGCACCCTTAACACAAGCATATTGGTTGCCTACTTTTGGACTAGATGGCGCTGTGAAATTGTCCAAAGATTTGTTTATTTATTTATCCGCTTTGAGTTTTGTTTCGTGAAGAAGAAAAAGAAGCGTTTTGTTCTGTTGTTAAATCTATACTAATAAAAGAGGAAAGATTTAATTGTTTGTTTGTTTGTTTGGAGGCAATAGGCTCCGAAAAAAATTTCTTTCACGATTTAGAATCCTAATTTTTTTCTATGTTGGCTATAAAATATTTTCAAAAACTTTAGTCCAAAATCTTTGATAAAATTCGACGTTTAATAAATAAATTAGATAACATATTAATACTTTTTTTTTCAGTACGATTTTAGTACTTGTTTTTCAGAAATTCTACGATTTAACTAAACTTCTAAAGTGTTTATATTTTATGCATAATTTATTAACTTCTAAAATATACATATATCCTATTGATAGATGACGTGCTTCGTATTTTATTAAAATTATTACCTGACTAGGTTAAAAAGGTGTGGAATGTTATTTTGGAGATAACTTGGTTCCATAGAAATATAGAGAGATGCTAAGTAATGCGCTGAGTTCGAAACTCAGTGTCGTATTAGAAATTCACACACACAAAGAAATCAAAT